TATCACATAGCTGTATCACTAACCACATGCCACACTGTCCTAGTGAATCACTGGGTGCTGAATGTCCTCATATGATGACAGCAATCACAACAATCACGTTGACACAATATGGTGGGTAACAATAAGGCTTACTGATATAATTTTCAGGTACTGTATTCAAATACATTATGACAAAATAGATGTTATATAATTATCATTTCCTGCATGATATAATTAAATATTCGAGTGCTTGCAATTCAATGAAGTGCAGTCCACAAAATTTTAATTCAGAGAGACAAAAATAAAAGATTGAAAGAATATTTCCCGTAATTATACAAAAAGGTATAGACGTTAAAATTAAGATATATCATGTTGGTTTGATTTTTAATTCAAACCTCTTCATAAAATGTGATAAGAGTCTTGCACGACGAGAACGCTGAGTATTATTAGGTTAATGGTCCACTAGTATGATAAAAAAAGATAAGTACATATGTACGAGTTTAGGTAGTATACTAACGAGCATTGGTCAGTCAAACATTAAACAGGAAGTCATCTCCCCAAATATTATTTTCGACTTAATATTATTTTGAAGAGGTACTTGGATGGAACTTGATTGACGGGAGGAGTAATCTGAACTACTGAGTGGATAATCAAACAACTCTTAGCGGAATTCGCAGGAGTTCTTTTATGAGCTGAGCCTTGCTTGGCTGACCGTGGGACCTCAAGAAATTCTTGTCAGGATAGCATTACGCGCATATCAGTGAAGCAGTTGTAAGTGCCTGTCAAACACTAACATCTACCCCAGGAAGCAGAATTCTACAACAAAGGGATTCAAATGTTGACACCAAGGCGTGACAAACATCTCAAGTCTGGCAGCGATTATGTGGAAAAATACTGAAACATGTTCTATTTATATTGCAACTAAGTTTTCCCATGAATTTGTGTTTTCTTTTTGTTGATGACAGAAACACTTACATTCTGTCTACCCCTCATTCACAATGCAGAAACAAGGGAAACTCCTGAACATTTCCTTGAGTGAACAATAAAAATATGAAATGCATAAAAAGCCTTCCTTTTCCTGAGCACTAACACCTGTATTAAACTGATTACAAGATGATTCTGAATATAAGAGTCAAGACGAGACTATTGAGAACATTTTTTCATTCTTACTATATAAGAAAAAGAAAATCACAAATTGTCTTGTTGATTAGAAGATTAAATCTTTTTGCTTCATATATTTACTATTTTCTTTTTCCTTATAAACATCATCTTTGTCATATCATCTTCATCTTCACATATCATATTTATTTCTCCCTTTCTCCCATTCCAAGTCCTCTTCTGACTTTTTAGGCCTCTCTGAAAGTGTGTAGAAATTTGCATTCTTCGTCTATCATCTGAAGCTGCGTAAGAGAATTCTGTGTCACCAGATTTATTCCTGGCACTCTTGTTCATGACCTTTGCTTCTTTAACAGCAATTAACTACAAGTTTGCATTGTTCAATGCATGAGAGTTCTAAGCTGCAAACTTGTTCAACTACATAGCTCTATTTTGCAGGTAAGAGCAACAATTTCCAACATTTGAGAATTTTTTGATAAAACATTTTTTAAATGATACATTTTCTGTAGTTGGTCATAGAATTGAATCAAATAAAATTTTATCTTCTGCAAAACGGAGTTATGCATTCACTGCGTGTGATGTCAAGTCTGCTTGGCCTAAATCAGTGCATCATGAAATAAAATCTTGGGCATAATTTTTTGCATTTTCACAATGCATTTCACTTAAATTGCTGTTTCTTCAAGATTTTCCACAGCAACCTGTTGCAACATTGGTCTTAATTATCTGGCAAACCCTTGACTATACAACTATTAATGAAATCCATTTTTTATTGCTTTTGCGATTTATTGTTAAGTCAGATTTCAAGTTTCTTAACATCAAAGGGCAATGTAAAATCCAACTCCATCCAGTTACACTTATTCGGCAAATATATGATGCCCTACAATTTTCAAATGAAATATTTACAGGGGAAAAACCCATCTTAATAAGATATTAAAAAATGATGAAATGTTCAGATCCTTCCACATAGGGCCTGGTGGATTGTGAGTGTTCATGTTGCAATTCTCAAGTAACATTATTATGTTCGAATATTGACAAGATCAAATTGTATTTTTTGTGAGACTTTTCTCATAATTATATGCGATTCAGAAATTTTGCAACTAGGTGCACTGAGTTTGTATTTTAATGTGGAGACGACTTTGCTATAATTCAAATTGTACCTCATTTGACCTTCAAGTTGAATAAGGATGAAAACTGAATATCAAATTTGAGAAAAATGGAAAGTATAAGTAAAAACTGTCCTAATACTCCAGGTAATATCAAATTCTATCACTTTTCAACTCTTGCACAACTCTTACACATGCATTACCTGGTTCAGAGACTGGGTATAGTTCAACACTCCTTTCTAACAAGCACAAATAATAACTACTACTTAAAAGTACATACAATCCTTCTTTTCAAAAAGGAAAATCCATTACCAACAAAAAACAATGATAAATTAATGTGTGTTTTGTTTTAATCATAACTTTCTCCCAAACCATTTTACAAATATTAGTGTATCTTACAACCAATATTTTCTTCTACCAAAATCGCATTCTGTCCCTTCTCTGCCCCTTAATTACTTAGTTACTTTTAGAAATAATGACAAGATTCTACTAGCCCTCCTTTCTTACATTTTTTATGAGCATATACAGCAATTGTGCATGCAATTCATAATTGTCATTAATGACGCTTACCTTCCTCTTCTTCTTCTTCATCAGTATTAGTTTGAATAAGGCCAGCATATTGGGTTTGATCAGGATTTACGCTGCGAAGAGGACGGATCACAGTACCCTCCATTATGTCGCCTACAGCAGCTGGTAACTCAATAGTCCCTTTGGTCAATACTCGCACGTTTTCAGCTGACAAACAACTACCCGAGGATCCTCTGGTGCCTAAGTTATATTCTACTTCAGCACCTAATTCCAAGTCTGATGGATCACCTTCAAAGTTGCTGTGAATAAATCAAAGCACACACAAATGTGTCAGCATATTGGTACATTGAAAAAAATTCTTTACAAAATAAGAACTTTAATTAAACTTGCAATTTAGAACACCAGAATCAATCAACTATCTTCACATTCTAAGATTCATTTCTATGATACATTAACTCATTTGCAATCAATACCCTCAAAATACATTATCTAATTTAATTTTCAAATATGTATACGAATGAGACGTGACTTATTTTGGCAATGTTGAATTAAGAAATTTACGTTTCAAATAGCAATTAAATAGAATTTTTGCATGTTCAAAGAACTTTAAGTAAAATTTTTAATTGCACAACAAACTCATCTAATAGTCAAGTGCTGTCATTGTAACAGTGAAACTACAATTGTCAGCTTAGTAAATGTACTGTGTAGGAGTGTATTATATTAAAATTGTGTAGTGTTGGAGCAATTTTAAAATTACAGTGGCTGCAATACCATGATTTTTTGTACTGTTTCAATACAATTTCCCACAATTTGCTGCTTTATATGTTGTTTTTTTATGCATGAATGGGCTAGATCAATTAGTAATGTTGAATCAACTAGTGTATAAGAAATGTCACTTTTTTCACTAAGCCAACACTGTGTGCTCCAACATGTCATCTGTCAGGGGAATTGAATTACTGGCACATCCTGGGCTATCTAACCCTATTTTCACATTATATTCAAATTAGTAACTTCCAAAATGTAAGAGTAGCACTATAGAAGATTCAATGAAGGAAATTAATAAAGTTATATTCAATATTCCCCAAACATGCAAAAACTATGAAGTGGAAATATAAAATTCAACCTCTTGCAGCCGCAAGATTTAGTAAATCAAAATTGATTTATGAACCCTCAGCTTGCCTTGGCAGTATTTTTATTAAAAGTTTAGAGTGAAGATGAAATAATCAGGAACTTCGTTCAAATAATGGCCATTCTAAGTGTAATGGTAATGATAATTCTAATTTATAAAACCTGTTAAGTGGAACATTAAAGGAATGTATTAATACTAGAACACTTTTAAAAATATTAATTTGTTTTATACTAGTAAAACTATGCCTCCTCTACACTTATTTAAAGCATTTCTTGCCATTAGCATTCTGCAGGGAAGAAGTGAAAGGAATATTGCCAATGCACAAAAAGAATGTCGGAAAAAAAACTTTTATGTATGAATAATACTGTTGTAATAGAAACAATATATTTTTTATAAATATTTAATTTCAAATAATACCAGTTCTTGTAACACACAAATACTTCTGGGGATTGTATATCCCATATACTACTGACTCGCAAATGTCACACATTTTTGACATATTTTATTTACATACTTTTATTTCACATCAATGAAAACTTTGATTAGTGTTACATGCAGGAATTTTGAAAATAATTAACCCTGAGTTTTAAATTTCACTTTTAGTTTTTGCTCAGTCTTTCATTGTATTTCTTTTAATTTTACTGTATTTACGAAATATACAGTATAAACATATCTTGTTGGAAGATACAAAGCCGTAATGATTTGAACAATCCACAGTTTTCAAGCACACTTTGTATAATACTCCCCAGTGTTTTGTTCAATATGTACTTCATATACTGATATAACTACATTTACAGGCATATCTTCTCATTTCCTTCTATAATACTTCCCCTATGTTTCCATTATATGAAAAAATATTGGTACACTCATTTTAGTTAGCAACCACCAAAACTTCCAGTTGCATGCTGTATTCGCTCTGTTTTTATTCCATGAACTGTGTGCATTGACTTTGGAAGGGAAAACAAATGCTAAACCGCTCTATTCCTTTGACCCAAAAAGACTAGTTTGTAAATGCAACATCTCATGCTACAGCCAAGTTATTTTTACAATGAAAGCAGTGAAAGCTGATGTCTTCTCACATCTCATCAGTTCTAAAATCATGAAATGAAATAGCGACCAATAAAAAAAAATACTTATATCTAACCACATCACCACCATTTGGAGCTTGAAATTTCCTACTCTTCATGAAAATTCTCTTCTAAACTCTTTAATTTTATCTTTAAATGATTGGAAGGAATATGTACCAACAATCTTTTGAACATAAGGCTGCATTTCAATATTTTTCTTTCCTGACAATTCTTTTCAGAAATAAGCTTATCGATTTAACAGGTATGAATTAAACTTACAAGCTAAAGAACTGCTTATTATCAAAATAAACATTGCAGATTTGATTTCACATTTGCTTCCTTAGCTCAGCATGTAAGTTATGCTAAAACATAACAATATTAAAAACATACCTAAAATGGAAGAAAACTTCCCTATCGTGGGTAATGTTTTCTATAAACCCAAATCCATCCTTCAAGGCAGCAATAAAGCCCTGGCAAACCGGCATGTTGCTAGTACGACCAAGCCCGTTCTTATTTTGACATTTTGCAACAACTTGAATATCAACAGCCAAAAGTTCCTTGTTGCGTTTCACTTGAGTAATGTTGAATTCAACCTTGAAAACATCCATTTAAATAATTAAATCTTGATCATCATTAACATACTAACATCGACAAAATAACACAAACCTTGTCACCAATTCTTGGAAAGTTCTTTGGATCACAGTCCTTAGAATGGAAATAGATTGTCTTCTTGGTTCCATTTACTTGATAGTTAATGATACCTACATCTGGATTATCACCTTTGCCGGGAGACTAAAGAAAAAAATTAATACTGTAATATTTCATTTCATATTCACTTCACTCATACCACACCTTTGTGGGTATGAGTAATGTCCTGAGCATCTTGGGTGGTTTAAATACAACACATGGAGTTAGCAGAAATGTCCTCAATAATGAAGTAGCAAACAGTTCAGAAATTGTTTTTAGATCAATGAATTGTGTAAATGAATTCATAAAACAAATTCTTTTCATTTACAAAATAGAATAAACCCAGATTTAAGATTTCAACCACAACAACCATCAGCATCACGGAGGCCCAAAAATTTAAATCAATTTTATATTTAATTATTACTTCTAGTAACATTGTTAAACATAGTTTTCTGTGTAACCTATGACTCATTTGAAATGAGTCTTATTAAAAGATTTCGGAATCTTGGATTTAAAACACACTTCTATTAATGTAGAATACAATTCTGAAAATTAATATTTTTCCTAGCATGACTAAGAGGCACAAAATGGTTTTAGAAAAGATTTCACCAAAGCCAAAGTTTCATATTAATAAACGAGAGAGGATCAAGTACTGTACCGGGATTCTTATAAACAAGTGGAACATAAAAGAAAAGAAATTTAATGAATGGCTTGATTCATGAAAAACAGAATTTTTTGACCAACAGAGCATATTTATACATCACTGCTTTCCCTCTCATATACAATACAAATGCGACACAAATGAAACAATTACCTGATTGCTTCCTTTTGTTGGACTTCGACTGCCCCAGCTTGGAAGAGGAGCTTCCTTAGTAATAACACCAGTCACATTTTTCTCAGTCAAAGTCTCAAATTGCACAGTACCAGCAGGCAAGTGTTTAATGCGAATTGCACTCTGACGGTTATTTGAAAATGATGACTGATCCTAAAAAAATAATTCATTCATTAAATGTTTTAAAAAAGTAAATTAAAATACAATTACTAAGAACCATACAAAAGAATATTATTAGTCTCAGAGGAAAATGGAATTCTGTTCCCCTGCCCTTTAGTATCTTTTCAATTAAGTTACTTTCCTTTTCTTTACAAGAAGGTGAATAAATTTACTGAACAACATTCTTCCCCAAGAGCTAGGTACCAACATTCCAACCCTCACCCACCAACAAACAATGAGTAACAAAGTGACACTTACTTGAACTACAGTGAACTCCACTTCATCATGAACATTGATTTCCCTATCAACGTCAAGAACTTCATTAAAATGAAAGAATAGACGTGTATCTCGCTCCACACATCGCAAAAATCCAAAACCTTCCTTCAAACACAAAACAACACCTTGTTCGCGTCGTTCACCTGACATCAGAAATGATTCATCTAACAAAGAGATTTGAGTAGCACGCTGGAGCTGATCTCGCCTGTCAGTGGCAATGCGAAATTGTACCCAGTCTCCATGCCTAAAACAAGAAATAAAGTTCAATTAGCAACAGATTAAGGAGGCTAAAGAGAGGGCAAAGTTCTGGTTTCAAATTATCAGTGATGTCATAATAACTTAAAAAACATTATTACAAACACATGCACACTTTTGGGCCATTTTTAAGGAGTTACTTCTAATCATAACAATTGTAATTGCTGCAGTAATGTAATTGTAAATCATAATAACGATAGATATTAAGAACAACACCAACATATGATTCAGTGTCAATAACCACGACTATTAAATAACTTTTTTGAAATAATATGAAATTCTGTCACATTTTCTTCAATACAAAATTGTGTAAATTTAATTTACTTTTCGAAGTTTTCTAATTTACTACCCTGCACAAATTACCCAATTTTATTGATCTGACCCTCTTTCATTATTTTCCAGAAACTTAGACATCTACAATCAAATTCCCATAACATTTCAAGAACTTTTTCAAACAGCAACATTTATAGGAAGATCTTTTTTCTTATGGTTCCTTAACTTGAAGTTATCCTCTACATCTCAAATTGTAGTCATTAAAACCACTTCCAAGCTTCTTGGGTTGGAGACAGCAGAATACAAGGTCCTCCACAACAAAGCACACATGAATGCCTAGGATGAAATTTAAAACTCCACTTTCAACCGATATAAGGAGCCTACTCTTGCTCTATGTCTACTGGCTATCCATGTCACTTAAACAGTTTTATGAAGGATAATAAAATGAAACATTTTCAAAACCATAGGAAGAATATACTCAAGAACCAATTTGAACAAATATCATTATTCAAATATCAGCTTTCCATTGTTAATCTTCATTTTGACTTCACAAAGGCATCCTCTCCCTACATAATACACTAAGATTATATTTCCAATGATTTATAAGAAATCCTTGACATAAAAACCTGGAAGTGTGCTGGTTCTACACCAAATAGATTTAGGACAAAAAAAATAGAAGTTCCCACATAATGACACAGGGAAGAGATTACTGCACCACATATTATAATCACAAATTACCTATCTTAAGCTGTTAAAACCATGTTTTCGTGACTCTTTAGGGACACTAAAAACCCAGACAACATAAAAGTTTTGCTGAGACACATTGACCCAAGTTAAGTTTCTTCCAAAAGAGATCTTTATGAACCTTCTATTACATTTTTTGGAGATGTACCTCTTGTGGAGATCTCAACTCCATAACATGAGTAGTCGGATAGAAACAATAATTCAAAATCAGTGTAAAATTAGAATGAAGGAAGAAAGGCAGAAAGAATATTCCTCAATCAAATTAAAGTGATTTATTTGATTTTTGGTGCAATTTAATCCGAATACTTTCCGATACACACAGATCAAGAGCTCGTCATTTGAAGTTGAGATCTTGAATGAAGCTATTTTCAGTTTTAAAACAATAATTTTTATTTTCAAGTGCAGAATATGCAGTTGGGTCCTGCTGGTCTTATTGTATTTACACTTATCAAAATAAAATTTTAAAACCACCTTTAGATATCTTACAACCATTACCACTACTAGAACAACCTAATATTCCAGGATGACCTACCGCATTTTAAAATCAATCACTGGGAGGTCTGCGCTAATACACCTTTTGGACACCAGAAATATTAAATTACATTTATAAATCAGATCAATCTTAACATTGGGAAACATCTGAAATAATATATCTTTTTCCCCAAAAAAATTTGAAATTATATTGAGAAAGGTAAATAAGTAGATAATTTGTCTTATTATATCAAGATGCTATTGACTACAGGTAAAATTCAAGCATTTCTCAATATTTGACATATAAACAAGATTACATTTTAGGACAGAATTTTAGTCCCTCTTTAAATAATAGTTTAATTGAAGGGCTTGGAGTAGTAACAAATGATGTAACTTTTTATAATGGTAGTAACCTAAATGAATTTAATGGCTTGAAGCAAAAACATAAATCAAACCAACCACAGCAAACCACCTGCTACTCGTAATCATTAATGCATCAAATTCTGTGGAAGTGTGGCGTATCTTTTTACTATAAACATCTTGTTTGAATTCATGAAGGTCTTCAGGCACCGCAAGATGAGACACTCCTCAACCAAAATAGAGATATTAAAATTTACAAATAGTAGGAGACTTGACGTGGCTGGTGTTGCCTTCTTTACTGCCTCAATTCATTTATGTTACACCCATCACAAAAGTTACTTCACATTACTAATCACTCAGGCAATGGATATTTAAAAAAATTCTAACAGAGACAATCTACGTCTTAACATTTGTTCCCCTTAGGTGAAATACCAAAAATAAAATATTAATCAACCTATTTCTTTTGCATAATAAGGAGATTTGGGGAAATGTCACTGTTGAACTGTTTAACAGTAATAAAAGGTATATCTATTAAGGAAGAAATATCCACATATTACCGAGTTAACTTTAAATCATTTGAAAAATTTTAAATTAATTAATTATTTCCAATTTTTACAAAAAATATCATTAATGATAAAAATGGAAAAATAAGATTTAAGACAAATGAGAACAATAAGGCAACAATAGAAGCCAATGGAATTAAATCTTAAGAGAAAAACTGTGCATACTCGTGTGCACTACATTATTCTATCCATTAGCGCTATGTTGACTAAAGTAAGAAAATTGAAATGAAATGTCAAAATCTTGCATGTATTCTCAAAGAAAACATTTCCCCCCTTATTTTATTATTTTTTGATATAGTATCCACAACAAAAAAAAAGAGACTTGTTGCAGAGTAAGTCAATTGTTCAAGCTGTGAAACATATTCTCACTAGTGAATTTATTTTACTAGAAATTCAAATTGCTTATGTCACCAAGAATAACAAAATAATTAATGTTTTACATCACTCCAATAGCAACATATCTATTTTCAAAAATTCAAAATATGTAATTTCAATGTTAAATTCTAATTGGCCCCACATCAGACCATTCCCCTACCATCCCTAACTATGTCTGTCTTTACATTTAAAAGGAATAAAAATCATTAATCATACTATAACATCACACAATGTTTTAAAATTATGTAAGTGTATTGCACCATGCACACGTGAGACAGAAATATTAGTACTGCCTGTATTTTCAAACAAACAAACAAACAAACAAAAAACACCCACATATTACGAAAGTTTTTAATATACACATAATAAAAAATACACTGTCCTTGATGGAGAATAGAACCTTAATAGAACTACGCAAGTAAGTCAAGAATTCTCACACTATGTGGTCAGAAAATGTAGGGACATAACTATTATTCCAGCAATAGTTTCTATTACTATAATTTATTAAGCTAATAAAGTAGGAACACAAAATATTAAGGATCAATGTTCAGTTTTCTCACTTCACAGAAGAACAGTTCTTCCTAAACCAAGAGGAATAATGGGGAATAGATTTCACTTATTCAAAATTAAGTGAGAATTCACACAAGATCATTGTGTAAACATTTCAAGTAAAATACTGTAAAATACCTATTTAGTTATATGTACGTAAAAGTATTAAAATAATAAGACCCTTTCATCAATTGTATACTCGATTTATAAAATTCTAGTATTACTAAAAGAAACTGTTATAAACCAAACATCTCGTATTAGATATTCTTAATATACACATCCAACCATAAACAGAGAGGGATTACAAAAGAAAATCATTAAAGAAACTTTTACCTCTAATTTGAATTTCACATGCAAATTAATTTTCGAAATAAAGGAATTTCCTGAAAAAAGAAATATTTAACCAAACATTCTATATAAACATGACATAATTCTTATAAATTATTATCTAGTAAGTCCTTATGAAACAAAAAGGTACTATCTTTTACTTCAATATTTTTAAGAAATAGTGAAACATTTGGAATGGTAAAACTATTAAAACAGAAACAATAAAAGTCTGGTCAGTAACACCAGGATGAAACAACTAAGCTGTGTATTACACAGAATAGTATTAAGTGACATTGAAAACATTGGCAAGCAAGTATTAAATATAATAAAACCATGTTAAAAGAGAACCCACTGGATACTGATTGTCCTGAATCCCTACATGCGTAATTAACATATGAGGCTTTCTTCCAAAAAATCCAATATGACCTGCTTGTTTGTTCCTTAGTGTCGAAATAATATTCGTTCTAAAAGAATGTTCCCACCATGAGCAAAAGGCAGAAGTAAAAACTACCAATTTTTCTGGGAGCCAAGTGACTTGCTCAGTCCCCCCTCTCACAAAGCAACTGCAACATTTGATGGGTTTTCCAGAAAAAGCCTTGCATATTTGTGAAACCTGAAAATCTGCTACCACTTTCTCTGAGAATCAGTTTTTGGAAGACGCTAAGGCATGCTATTTCCTCTTGAGGTAAGGATAATCTTATCGTCATCAAGCAAGTGGGAAGCATGAGCTGAGCAGTGAAGCATAAGGTTCATTATTTTAACGTTTTGTGCAATTTATATTGAGCATTTTACCATCAAGGTTGATCTTGCAATGTTCAGTGCTGTGTTTGCATACAGAGGGACATATAGAAGGATTTTTAAATTCAAATTGTTATGGCCCAGAAAAGGAAGTCAATGTCAATATTGAGAAAACGACATCTCACATCAAATCGAGAACGGTAAAAATTTAAGTAAACCTTAGATGAAGATTTATGAACTTCTGAGTTGCTGCCATTAAGAGATAAAAAGTATATCCTCAAGAAGTCTCATATCTCAGAGTTTTACTGTATTTGTTGTATATAACAATCAAAATCTTTATCAACAATCACCAGAAAATTCACGATTAAAGCAAAAATAAATTTGCCTAGCTATTACTCACATCATTAGCAACCAATTTTTTTTTTTTTTTTTTCTCTTCCAGAGTCACCTTAAAATCAGTAAAGAAGACAATTTTGTATTGAAAAGATACTTACGTTTATACATTTATTATTTGCTTACTCTTAAGCAATACCACCAATTAAATACCATTAACAAATATGAACATGTTAAACAAAGTTGTTCAATTGAAATGCCTAAGTTTCAAGACCTCACACCACACACACACACCATGACTTAAATGTATTCTGTAAAGGAAAATACAAAATTGATTTCAAAACTGAATTTTAGTCTCATAACCATTCACTTCCAGCAAGACAGAACTTTCAAATGGCATATTCATTTCATATGCACAAATGTCACTATTACTTATTCAGACACATTGCTCATTATCTAATTATTCTTTTGCTGATCTGGCATACATTTCTTGAAAAGTTTTGTGCCTCTGGTTTGGCCCTAAAAACATTATCAATTTTATCACTTCATAATTTCGATATCATACTTTTTTAAATGTAATACAAAAACTGTAATGCATAAGATATCATTTTAACCTAAATATTTCACGTTCATCAATCTTTAACCTATCAAAAAATGTACAATAATGTAGGAATGCAGCACCTTTTTGCAACGTTCTTCCTGCACAATTCAAGGCACCTTACACTCATCTGTTACTAAGCAATGGGTGGCCATGGAATACTTGCAATTTTATTTACATAATATATCTGTGTATTCAGTTGTCACCAAAACACTGAATACTAAAATTTCTCTGTTCTTCATCACTGTACTTTTCTTCTGAAAATGTTAATTCTCTCATGTGCACATGTACTTGCATTAATGCATGGAGCAATAATGGTTATAATTGCAACTCAATTACTTTTTGGCTGTTCTTGAGAAATTGTAAGACTACTTCTAAATTCATTATCATAGCAAGGATATATTTATTTTCAACAAGTGCTCTAAGAACCCCAAAATATAGTAAGTTCAGTAAAAATATTTTAAAATGTTATTTATTAAATTGTTATTTGTTATGTTAACTTGTAAAGTGCGTAGCATAAATTGTTCCGCACTTTAACAACTTGCAGAAATACATTTGATCTGCATTTAGTCTTTATGTTACTTTCTCATATAATTCACCTTTCAAGTTCATAGTTTACTTCCCTCTATTTTAATTCATAACCATTTTAAAAGAATCTAACAATGCAATGAAACCAAAGCATTCATAAAACAACTTTTTGAATAATGGAAATTTAATTTTTCTTATTAATAAATAATGCATTAAATTATATGAAATACTATTTCAATATAAACATGCATTGTGGAATACAGCAATTATTTATTAACCTATGGTAAACCATCAACACAAACACCAAGAGACTATAATAATCTGTGATATTATCCAATAATAATAGAGTATATCTAAATTAGCAAGTTTCCTTCCTCTGTCCCACATTTTTCGTTATAGTGAAATTCATGTTAAGTAAGTACGTGCAAAAAAAGGTTTAATGTATTATATTTAATATATTTGATGAAGCTTTTAGAACAATTCACAGACTTCTTTCTTAAACTCTTACCTCAATGTGAAGTCTCCTTTCTGATCCTTATCTCCAAATGGAACCTCCACTTCAGAATGATCAGGTGCACGATATTTAATGCGTCCAGGAAGAGGATCAGTTTGATGCCGAGCCTGCTGCCCTCGTTCTAAAGGTTTCAAAACCTGTCCTTTAATGAGTTCACTTCCTACATCTTCAAACACAACACTGCCTGGTTCCAAGCGTGTAATGTTGCAAGCCACTTCCTTTCCCTAAAGCAAGCAAAAGTCAAAAAAGGATAAAAAACTATACCAAAAGCTAGTGCAGCATTGAAACAATCACCAAATGAACTCACATTTCTCGTTTGAATAGTGAACTCTACATCATCACCCAAACGCAGTTCTTCTTTACCCTTAGCTGCTGAGAAATGAAAAAATATTTCTTTCACAATATCAGCTCGTTCAATGAAGCCGAAACTTTCTTTCATAGAACACACTACACCTTGATATTTGACAGGGTGAGCTGGGTTCTCTAGACGAATATGACATGCTCCAAGATTTCCACTGCTGCTTGCAAAGAAAGTAATTTTAAAATTAATCAAATTTTATTCAAACATATTACAATAGATCATTAACAAATGATCGTACATCTTAAAGCTGATAAATGTACATACGTAAGAAATGTATTTTGCTCAAAAGTTCATTCAATTATTCTTAGCAAAATTAAAAGAGAGGAAAAAAAACAAAAAATGCAACAAATTCTACAAATTTAATTTCAAACTTTTATCGGCTACAATTTTGTTCTATAAAGTTCACAAAAATATCGAAATAAGATTTTAAAATATCAAGAAAAACAAATTCTACATATTGCAAAACGTATTACCGCTGATTGGTAGCAATCTGAAAACTGACTTTATCTCCAGATCGCAGAGTTACGTTTCCTTCAACATCATCTTTGTTGTATGGCAGGAAGAAACATTCTCCTCTATTTTCATAACTAATTCGTCCTTGAACATCTCCCGCAGACCCATCACTACGAAGTTCAGTTGTCACATTACCGGTCACACGTTCTTCACTGAGAACCTGAAATAACCCCAACTACAACTCACCTAAACACTTAAATAAATTATTTTGCTTTTTCACTTATTTAAGAGGCCTAAATTGTAAAATTGGATGTCCAATACTTACAACTTCAGGAGCTATTTTTGTAACTGCACTTGCAATCGGCTTTCCTGTTCTTCGATCATAAGTCATTTCAAATTCCACTGGATCACCAATTTTTAAGTGTTCTATATTGCCATTAAACTGACTGAAGTGAAAAAATAATCTTGCTTGTCTTTCACAGCATTGGATAAAACCATAAGAGTGCTATAAGAAAATAGGTATAGTTACCATGCATCAACAACTTTTGAAAACATGAAAAAAGAAAGCTACATACTTAAGCACTGCAGCTCTTAAACATAATAAACACTCAGATCATAACAGTTACACAGCACAGTACCATAAATTTTAAGAAACATACACTTCAAGGCAGGATTGGTGTCATACACACAACTCCTTCTCATAAGATGACGTTACTTGTTACCTTGCTTTCCAAATGCCCCTTGATCCACCTAAACCTAACCATCACCTAATATATAGAGCTACAAAATAAGAAGTAGCACATTATAATAAATAAAAATGACACATTTGAATTTTCTTTTTGACTACTTTATTGAACATTAACTATTGAACATACTCACCAACAACTTCTCAATAATGCCTGTTTCACGTGTCCCCTGACTGCCAAGGGAATCATTGTAATTTGAGCCTGAGTTTGCATTGGTGGTGTTGCTACTGGAATTGTTGCTGTTATTTGCTGGTGGGGATGAAACAGATTCTCCGTTAAATACCGTATTGTTACCTTCATTACCAGTGAAGGTGCCTATGGGGAATCTACCTCCTCCTCGAGAGTTATTTGAAGTCGAAAATGAGTAATTTGCAGAGTAGTGGCCACTTGAGCTTCCCTTGTTACTGTACACATTGTTCGGCGAGTCTTTTGATGGAACATTTTGAAAATGGTTATTCCCACTATTTGTGAAACTTGTTCCATTGGGAGAGCTGGCAAATGAAGATGTAGAATTCTTGGGGATTGTCAAAGACTTTATGTCCAGTATTGCAGTGTCCGAATTCATGGCTGGCGGCTGGAAGGATTTCCACTGAGGATTATTGGACATAGTCTTTCTTTCAGTTTATTATAATTCAAGTTTGGATGCAAAGAACTTTGGCTTAAGAAGAATATATCACAGAAAAGTTCTCAGCCAATTAAAATGATGTCTCTCCAATTTCTTGAACACAAAAGCCAAATGAAGTGCTTCAAGAGAACACATACAAAATAAAAAGGAAAACCTATTAAAGAGTCAAATCACGCTGTTGCAATTACAATATCCGAAATATAACCTATTGCAACACGCTTTACTGTTAAATTATTGAAGTCACTGATGTCAACAGAGGTCCTAAGTGAAAAATGAAGTTGGCAAAATCCTCAGATGTCTTCAATGCGTGCTGGGTGCGGATTGTGTTTTTGGCTTTTACTTTACTTGATCGTTGTTTCAAGTTTTCTAATCTAACAGTAACACAAGCTGTAAAAAGAAAAGAAAATAATCAATATATGCAGTACTTCACACGCCACATGCTCACAAGTAACACCTATCGCGCAAGCAAGGTTAAATGACGGAAAATAATCGCTAAAAATTACTTCAAATTACTCACGTCAAACAAATACTTTAAAAGAATATTATCCAACAAATAGTTGAAAATTATCACACTGCGTGCCTAAGTAATGCACAAGTGAGCGAAACAATATACAAGGAAGTCTATCATTTTATTCGAGGTACTTAGATGTACGATGATCGGCCTTTAAAGACGGCATTTCGATGTTAAAGATGTCGTCACCGTAAGGTGTAGAAAGGAAATAATAGCGTAGAAAATATCACAAAGACATAATCTTCAATAATGTTAAATTTAAGAGCCGCATGGTAAAATATAAACGAAAATATCCCAAATTAACTGACTCACCACGACACAGCACAGCACTGACGACATGCCGCCATGTTGAGTGTCAACACTCAAACGCGAAAACACAAACGCATTTTGTGAAGACATTTTCCATTGGTTTATTCCATGAATGTTTGCAACAGTTTGCAACTGCGTGGAACATGGAGGCGATATTTCACGAAAAGGTACGTACTTTAAATTTTGTGTGAATGTGCATATTTTTGACGAAGTGTTATTGTAATGACATTGGAAATGTAATTTCAGTTTTGAGTCCGTCATATGTTCAAGATACCTTTGTAAGTTTCATACTTGACACAAGGAAGAGTGCAAAGAAAGAAAGTAGCCCTAGATGTATTTCACGAGTAAATTTATTTGTATGAATTCACTTTAACATTATTTTTATGCATTTCAGCAAGAAGGATCATTATGTGCCCAACATTGTCTCAACGCCTTACTTCAAGGATCGTATTTTACGGCTGTGGATTTAGCTACTTTGGCCCAACAGATGGATGATGAAGAAAGATTGAGGATGTCAGAATCGGGAGTTGATACAGAAGACTATAGGAAGTTTCTGGAGGTAAATTATTAAAGAAATGAAAGTTATTTAAAATACTGGCTGATTTGATAGTACTGCCAGTTTTTTTTTAACATACATTTCATATAGTAGTGTTATTAATTGCAGCAACCCTCAGGCAACTATGATGACAGTGGCTACTTTTCTGTACAAGTTATAAGTAGTGCTCTAGAAGTGTGGGGACTAGAATTAATACCATACAACAGCACAGAGGAGAGAGCTGTTGAAGCACACAAAAATCCTGCGTGAGTTTTCAATTTATAAAATTGATAATATTGCTGTCTATTTAATATGTGTGGAAATGATTAAACATTCATGTCACAGGCAAATGAAAGCATTTATTTGTAATTACCGAGATCATTGGTTTACCATAAGACGTCTTGGATACCAATGGTTCAACTTAAATTCTCTATTGAGTGGCCCAGAATTGATTAGTGATACCTACCTAGCCATGTTTCTTGCTCAATTGCAACAGGAAGGTATGTTCATCACAATGAACTACATTAATTGTGATGAAAAATTCATTTTGTGAATGCTAAAACTATATAATTCTATGTTTAAACTTGAGATTTTGTTAAATGCTTATATACTGATTTGTATTGCAGGGTATTCCATATTTGTTGTATTTGGTATATTTCCTGAATGTGAAGCTGATGCCTTGCTCCGAATAACCCCAGCTGTACAAACACAAAAGCCACGTCTTATCTCTGCTGTTCCCGAAAAAACTAACACTTCCCCAGAAAATGAAGAACTTCAAAAAGCTCTACAACTTAGCCTAAGACAGGCCGAAGATATCATTGTTCCAAGTGGATCTCAGTCTTCCAATACTGAAGAGAGTGATTTACAAAAGGCTTTACAATTAAGCTTGGTTGGTGGTGTGACACAAACTGATAAAGATCAAAGAACAGAAGATAAAGAAGAAAATGATATGCAAAGAGCTGTAAGACTCAGCCTTTCTGCTTCTAATGCTCCTGCATTATCTGCTCCTGTGCACAGTAATTCTGGGGAGAGTGATGACCAGTTACAAGAGGCATTGCAACTCAGTTTGCAAAATGATGGTTATATTGACAGTGATCATGCAGAACTAGAGAAGGCTTTGAAGATGAGCCTTGAATGTAAGTATGAGCAAAATTTGTGTGCTAATTGTATATTGGTAATTAATGTCTGAATTAAAAAACAAGAAGGTATCCATATAACCTGCTCTAGCATGTATTGTGGCTAGTGGACTCTACAGAAACGCTTCTGCATTTTTTAAACTTCATCAAATATTGTAGTTTTCTTAAACAGGACTACTAAATAGTGAAAATAGAAATGATCACAATTATGATGTATTAGATGGTAATTTTTGTTTATAATATGTTTAAATAGTATATTTATGGGGATACAATTGAATATGATTTCGTGTGAAAAAGTAGTTGAAAAATTAACTTGACATTTCAGAATTTTATGATTTATATTCATGTTTATGCACTATTAAAAATTGCTCAGGATTTACTGTTTGTCTTTATTCAGAAATATTTTAGAGTATGTGAAAATATATTTAAATAACAAAAAAAAAAAAATGTGTCAAAGATTTTGCCCAGAGACTGTCTTTATTTATCTTCACTTAATGAATATTTAATATATGAGGATATGCAAATTATTTCTAATACATACAACTATTTTTCATGTCCACAAATTCTATTTTAATGTTTACTTATTTTCTTTGGGAAAAGATATGACAAGTATATCTGTTCTCTTACTTTTTAATTTTTGCAAATATTTAGTACATCAAAGCAATCAAAAATTTGGTTTTGAAGTTTGATTGATGGATTTCAAGTTGGTTTAGAAGTGATTAGATGCTTTAAAGATCATTCTTCACTGTGATACATGTTTAATGGTCTTGGAGTTTTCTTATATTGCCTTCATATTCAAATTAAATTAATTAAAAATTTAATCTAGTATGTTTTACTTAATTGAAAATCAAAGTGATAGTGGTTTTTGTAAGGACTATTCAATATTCTATTTATTTTTACTGTGTAATATGTAATTATGGTTTCCCCCTTTCTATATTTTTTTTCCGGAAGACTTTCTTCCATTTCACAATACTAAGATTTCATTTTGATAACAGAACATGTAGTAAGGGTGCAATGATGTTTTGTAAACAGTTGACAAAATCATACTCTGAATAACCTGACGTGTGGCTCTCTTCGTTTGCTGTCAGTCATCTGGACAGTTATGGCTCTGTTAGTAACCACACAGAGCATGCGATTTTCTCTTAATATGAAGAGTCATTCATCTTCTATGTATATCAGGTCATCAGATGCTTAATTTTTCTATTACAGAGAAATTACCAGATACCCATGTTAACTGCCCACAAAATATCTGCTACAGTGGAAGTGAAAGTTAATGACAGTTTGAAAAGGAATTGTTTACAATTGCCAGGTAGAAAAAATTTTAAAATTGGACCAACAGCAGGGACAGTGACACATTTATTTCATATCTAAGGCTAATATGTGGGTTTTCTTTTAAAATGGTGTAGGTGTTTTTTTATGCCAATGCAAGCACTTCAGTTACTTTTGGGGACCAAATTGTTTCCTCTCTCTCTCTCCTACTCTCACTCTCTCTTTCTCTCTCCTCTCCTTCTTTTTTATTGTTTTAAGTTTATGAACTTTGATTAAAAATTTAGGTGATTGGGCTGCAGATACTAGTAACAAGAGAGAGATCACACACATGATTCTATTGGTTTAGTATTCTGCCGGAAAAGTAGTTCAATTGTTTTGAACAAAATTCCTTATATATTGTAATAGTATTTATAATTTTTTAAATTTTTAATTGTTAATTTTGTAATTGCAGGCTGTGACCCTGGCTATGTTGATCAAGAGGAGTTGCGAAGAAAACGTCTTGCATACTTGACAAATCACTCAAATGTTACTCTTCCCTGCCTTATTTCAAATAATTTCTGCAAACCACTCAATAGTTAAATCGGAACATTTCATTCATAATTTCTAGTCAATCATGTCCATAACCATCTTTTTTGCATTAACATTTTCATGTGAAAATGCTTTATGTTACACATTTTTACACAAATCCCAATTTGTACTAGAATATTTCATGAATGAAATTGTACATTTTAGTAAGATGAAGTATATAGATTGTTGATAAGCTAACAATTTTTATATAACACCAATAACTGTGTGGTTGTGAGTATGTTACCTAATGTCTTAAGCAGTGCTGAAACATTATCTATTTATTTTGTTGACTAATGTTATATGCAGTGGCCTCATTCTTTTGTAAGATTATGCTAATGTGTGAATCTAATTAATTAACTATGATTTCCACAAGAAAGCAACAGTAAATATGTTTTGTTACTCCTAAAAGGTGACTGTACACTTAGAAAGTGCTGTAATTTTCAAGAATGTACATTTTGTGAAGAGAGAATGAGATTTAGAATGAAAAACTGTAAAAGTCATGATTGAGTTTCTTATTGATATTTGTATGTACTTCTATTCACAGAAGCTATGAGATGTCAGGGTATTGAATTGCAACCATTTCATGTTGGCTGAGAATCTAAAAAAGGCTGTTCAAGTCCTTTTTTTCTTTGTAGAATTTGAATTGTCCATGAATGTTCTGTGTGACTGTAAGATATTTTATCACTTTTGATTAATGTAATGCTATAATTTTTTTATACGGATTCTCTGTAGGATCCTATATTTATCTTTGTTTCAAAATCTCATGATGAAGTATACTTTTGATATTGTTCTTAATTTACGTGGATTTTCAATATTGTACAATCCTCACATAATTTGTTTTGTCTACAGTATTGTATTCAAGATTTGTATTAGTTTTATATTGTTATCAAAACTACTGATGAAGGATTTTGAAGTTTAATATAATTTTCAAAACAAAGCATTTAAACAAAATGAATTACTTTTTTACCTATCCTTTCAATTAATTAATAATTGTGAAATTAAACAAATTCAATAGAAAATTATCCTGACTAGTTTCTTTTATCAACATACAAAAGTTTTCTGATACATACATCTATGAATTTAAACCTGTTTTCACTAACGTAAAGAACAATACTATTCTTTTATATGTATATAAAACTTCTCTGTTTATGTTTAGTTGTTGGTCACAAATCTAATGAGCTAATTATGAAATTTGCATTTCATGATTGAGAGTGGAGTAATAGATGAAAATGTTTCAAGAGTATTTGTGCAATTCATTAAATTTACAAATAGGTTCTTCACCAGCACTATCTTTTACATGTACATGCAGGGGTGAATTTAGGAGAGGGGGCTGTGTTTGTCCATAATAGATGATGAATTAATGAGGAAATATATTAAATAATGAATTAATATAATGAAGGAAGATTAATATTTGCATAATATTAAATGCAAAATACACAATGTTTGAAGTAATTATTGATCAGACTTCCCCAATTATATAATTACAGTCAAAGCTGTATAAACTGGAATCTATTGCGACTAAAAATTTTTCCAGTTTGTTTTCTGTTTTATGCAGGGTTGTCCATTTTGTCACTTGTTATTGACACATTATTATGACACTTGATGTATGATACTTGTGATATGTTCCAAAACTAATCAATTAAATGTCTTTATTATAATTATAAAAATGTATTTACATACAACATATTTATGGAAGAAATCACCAATAAATTAATTCTAATTTCTGGCAATTAAAAGGAAAAACTTCGCAAATTGGGCACTACAATATTATTTTTTCTAATATTTATTTACAGTTTTTTTGATTTTCCACTTACTAACACCTTTTCAATTGTTTTTCAAAGTTGAAAAATTTTAATATTAAGGGTTTTATGATTTTTTTCCAACCATTGTTAAAGGAGTTGTAAAACAAAAATATACCACCTCACTGCCTATATTAGGATTTATTTAACCACGCACTCGACGTCAATCAGCTGTTCACAATTTCATTCAATCGGGAGCTTTAACGTCCCCATAGTGACGTCACTGCAGCGACGTTAAGCTCCCGATTGGATGAAACCGCAAAAGCTGATTTAAGGCAAGTGCGCGACTAAATAAATCGTACTTCGTAGACGTACAAGTTCCCGATTAGGTGATCCCGTGAGCAGGTGATTTATGTCAAGTGCATGGTTAAATCCTAGTACAGGCTGCGAGACAGGCGACCCTAAGGTCGAATTCCACGCTGGCAACTGAAGCTCCTCGCCTTCACGGTGCGGCTGCCGCGACTGAATCTCATATCCCTGGGACAGAAATTAAAACGAAAGTGAAATTTGCTACAGTATTTATTTAGAGATTATCATAAAAAAATTTGCTATTTCGAAAAATGGCTTACACAGATACATTTGTATATAGATAATATTTATTATTGAAGAAATCTACAATAATTTTTCTGTAAATACTATTTTAAACGACTAAAGGTTTCTTCTATTAAAAGTATGTAATTAAAGTATTTCTTTAGAAAGCGGCAAATGTAGAAATAAAATTTAGAAAGCGGCATCAGGGCGGCAAACCAGTACACGACGGCCCTGTTAGCAATTTGTGTGTGATTCACGCGTAGGTTTTTTGTTGTCTCCTCGACTAGTGCATCGCGCGACTAGTGCAATAATTGTTTCATGCAGTTGTTACTTAACTTAGTATTTTTCCTCTTGATTTTTTGTAGGGGCGCACAGGGTGGGTGAGACATTGAAAATTTCAATTTTGATGAAAAACATGCTTAAGGTTTGGCCGCTAAAGATTGTTCACAGGCAGATAGAGGAACAAAATGTGCAGACGGTCAGAAGTTTTACCGTAAATGAAGTTTTCGATACCAAAAACCTACTAAGCGTGAATTCTGACTAAACAATGTGTTGGATGAAGCAATTTACTACATTCATGAATGATAATTATCCACGTTTTCGGTATCAGGGACCTATAATAAGAATTTTTCTGCCGATAAATCGCTGATTTTCGCATCAGCATAACATAACGTTCTCTTTACTACGTATTGAGTATGCGAGAAAGTAAAAAGATATGAAGAAAGGAATACTCGGTAAGTAAAATTTCACCTACATTACTCTCTGTTAGCGATAAGAGAAATCGAGGCAACCGAATCAGGGGCGCAGGTTGAACTCCACATAAAAGTATTTTGCCGAAAATTCGAGGACCAACGTGGAATTAAATCAACCCCGAACATACCCTCAGATAGGAACGGAATTTGATAAGATTTGTGATGTGATGTTACGTTTCGAAGAATGATTTTATTCTGAGCTCTACCTGATTATTGTGTATCTCAAAATAGAAACCACTAATAACCATTTAAAGATTTTTCTACAAACAGATTCCAAATGAACAGGCACTTTCTCAAGGCCGAGAATACGGCTGCGATGATAGGTGAATAACAATCGATCCGATTCACAATCAGCGATAATGAATCTTATCTCAATGTCATGATAAATCTTACTAGTCGAGTAAGGCATACTCGTACTATATAGTAAATAGCGACGGTCGTGGTATGCACAGTTTCTGAAGAACTCCGTTCATTACGAGCGAATATGTCGACTCACATTACTTTCGCCAATGGCCTCAAGATGCCCGCAGTCGGTCTGGGCACTTGGCAGGTAAGATTGTAGTTCACTGACTCTTAGTCTATTTTTATTGCAAATCGTGGCATATTTTGAATATGAAAGCGCACAGGCAAACCAGTCAAAGACTCAGCCCCTCTCGGCGTGCGGGTAAGATTTTGCATTTAAAATTCATTGTAATTATGTAATTTTGGTTTTCGCCTTTTCTGAGTTACTGCAGTGAAACTGCGAAACACATTCTACCTAAGTAGTACGTTACGTTACGCGGGCAAACAAGAAAGGCTCATTGAGTCTTTGATTGTTGCAACCTGAGGTCGAGGGACGCAATAAAAAACGAAATTTTTCGATACTTGCTTTAGCCCTTCATGTTAATAATATATTTTATTACGCATAATAAATTTTAGTATTCATCTATAGCGCAACAAAGGGGTGAATAATTGAATGTTGACAAGTTAGATATAAAAGATCGCGGAGAAAATGTAAGCGAACCCGAAGATATTACGGAAATTCTTCCAGAGAAACTGAAAATGGCAGAAAAAGAGTAGGGAATAAGTTGCAAATCAAGATTCGAAAATGAGTACATTTTTTTAAACAAATGGCACAAAGAAAATACGATCGAAACGCAAACGTTCAATGAAATGTTTTGAACGTACACTAACATTTCCGAGAACATTAATATTGCCACTCATATTAAGGAATAATTTGTGAATAAATTTGTTCTTCACGTTATCATTTAAGTTTTATTGTTTGTTCATTTTGTGTCGATAAATAGGTGTCGATTGGTTGTAAAGTGGCCTTGCATAAGCCATTACAACCTTTAATTGGTTTTATATTAAGAAAATAGGATGTTATTTACTAATGAAAAACACATTTTGTATAATTATTTAATTTTTATTGCCCCGGAGAAGTTTGTAATAAACTGTATTTTGCAGGACTTTTTGTACAATTTGATGGAGTTGAATCAGGGAGGGAAAATGTTTCTCTGTGAAGACTTTGTCTCCCTGATTCAACAATGACTGGCTTTCCACCTGAAAAAATTGTAGCATAGGTAGAATTTTTCTAAAAAGTAAGGCGAAAAGATTTACGATCGGAGATTGTTATTATTTTCCCGCTAACAAGCCTCAATTAACCGCAAAACAAATTGATATTTCAATTTAAGTGCGCTGTATTAAATTCTGACGTAGTTGGATCATCAAACGTACTGTCATTTGAAAACAAAATAATAGTTATGTATTTATGATACGAGTGGAAGAAGTGACGTTTTATTTAGCGAGAAAGAAATGTAGCGTTACGAGACCTATATGCCTAATAGAGCAAAATAAAATCACTTTTATTTTTCATTTTTTAGAAGGCTTACTGACTTTCATTTAATTCAAGTTTATAGTACATTTTTCTCTGTTAGATAAAATAAGAAATGATGAAATAAGAAATAAAATGAAATTGCAAACAACCTTGAACGAGACGATCGAAATGAAACAAACTAAAATGGTATGGCGTTTGAGGTTTGAAATCTGCCTAGACTTCCTCAAAAAGTTGGAGTGGATACCAATGTCGAAGAAGATACAGGGGAAGACCGAGAAGAACATGGAACATGACAATAACTGAAGCAATATTCTTCATGTCTTCCGGGCTGATGGGCCGTGGTCCAATTGGCTCTGAGATGCCATCTCAGAGAGAATTGGACCACGACCCATCAGCCCGGAAGACATGTAGAATATTGACTCCGGCCGTGAAAGCCTACAATGCTGAATAACTGAAGCCATGGAAAAAAGAGAAATGGAAGAAAACGATCTATGTGATAAAGAAGCATGGAAATTGGGATGCGGAAAACGGCCAAGGCTGTAAAAAGACGGCAAAATAGATATAGTACATCACTTAATGGTAAATGAAGGTCAGTAATAGCTGATGCGGTCACATGAAATATTTTGTTTTCTTTGTTGCATTCAGAAACGTACCTAAACACTTGAGCATCGTCTCGCGCACTAGTGCCAAAAATTGAACATCTAGCACGCTGTACATGCCCTGAAAAAAACTCTTTTACAAGTGACTAAAAATATAATTATGGGATGCATCAGGATTATAGCGCAAGATGAAAAGTGTGAAAAAGAGTAATCTCATCAATTTCATTCGTATTAAAACTAAGGACATGTGAGAACATTCTGACTTTCTGCAAAAATCATAGATTTAAAAGATAAAATAGTTTCGAACGGAATCCCACGTTCAGGGCAGAACCTGAAGTGTGCATGGAAGCATTATAGGCCCATCATGACTGGCCTATTAACCCATCATTTTAATTTTACACACATTTCTAGCTTTTGTTCCTTTCTGACTACCCCGCTAAGAGGTAGGGATCATCGGAGGAAGTACAATATAGGTAGAGGGGTCCCCTCTATGTAAACGCCAAGAATATATGACACTCCATCGTTACAAATTCTTACAAATGTATTACTATTGCATAGTGAATTACTTCCCAGGAATGCTACGAACAGATTTAAGACGAAAAACATAACTATTGCAGATTACAGCTTATTTGGAGAATCAGGGGCATATGCAACCGGCAAACCACATTACTGCAAACACTTCGCCATCGTACATACCTCAGAAACTATGTATTCTAGAGCCATCTTTTTTCATCTGAAAGGGACACAAGTAATCCCCCCGGAAAGGGACACAAGTATTTTTTTTCTATACAGTAATATGCAAAATGAGACTTTTTTGGCGTTCTGTTGCTGAAGTGGTGAGGAGTCTGTCACTCCGTAGAACGGACTGCGAGAAACGTTGTAAGTTGTGTTCTAGTGTGAAGCTATTTTTAATTTTAAAAACATTGATTTTAAAACTTCAGGGGATTTGAGATTTTTTTGAGTCCGGTTTCAATCAAATGATAGATCTATTTATTTTTTGTTTTTAAACATTTCAAACATTTCCATTCCGTATCTTCTACTAATTAATAACTTTTCAACATATCATTTTCGTGATTTTGTCGATTTGTTTATTAGAATGACTCCACTTGTAAAAACTTACCGAATTACTTTTAAATAGAATTCTAAACAATAACGATGTATCTTTGATACGATGATCTTTCATATTAGATTCTTATCAGCTCTCAGGATTGTGAAAGGAGTAAGGACGAGATAACAATTCACGGGCGTGGTCACAGTTAGAAGTGCCCGTTTTTGTTGAGTAATATCAAACTGAGATTGTAGGATACCAGCGGCAGAGAATTTTGTTTGACAATTTGACAGAGAATTTTTTATGGCGCACAAAAATGTCGCAAACAAAAATGATACATTTAAAATGTATTTCACAGAGTGATTAAATGCCAGGCAATTTAATTTTAACAAAATAACAATTGTTGTTAACAAGTGCCTTATCTGTCCATTCATTACAAGCTTCAGATGGTGACGTTTTAGTCTGAATATTTTTTGGTTATTCTTTTTCGGCAAAGAACACCAGAATATTGAACTTACCCGAAACAATAACGTTACAAATTTCAGAATAATTCTTCAATTTCAACGTTTAGAAAAAAACAACACCTATTCCGTATCAGGGGAGAAACTGGCATTGACATAGCCAGGTCCCCTGCATGATTATGGAATCATGCTGACTCTGGGGTCTCTGTAGCCGCCCATAATTGCGAATTGGCTGCCGGTGTAGGATTTTGTGCACCTCCTGACGTCACGATTATTTACTATAAACGTTCAATGGAATTCATGTCGGGTGATCTGAGTGGGCAACCCATTCGCTCGAATTGTTTAGAATGCCTTCAAATCAATGGCAAACAACAGTGACTCGATGACTTGGCGCATTACCATCCATTGAAATTCCATAGTTGCTAGGGAAGTCCCTGAATGTCTGCAAGTGGTATCCAAGTAACTGAACATAACCATTTCCAGTCGATGATACGTCTAGCGGACCAGGGGATTCATTCCATCTTTTCCAAAATATATAATTGAAGATAGCCTCTGACAAAGTTTGTTGTACAAAATTATCTCTTCAAAAAAAGGTCATGTACAAGTTTTGAAAAGAAGAGTAGTTGTGCGTAATTTCTGCTTGAAATTAATGAAATATATGTATACAGGTTTCGAACCAACTACCGCACCACCTTCCACTTATGGCAAAAAAGAAGAATTGATGAGAAAATATGCGCTCTTTGTTGGCAGCGCCCATCACAGCATGCGTGCTTTGTTGCCAGAGCTCATCGACTGAGATGTGTTGATATAGACAGAAATGCGGTATAATATTATTACAAAACCGTTACTAAGCGGCGAAAAAGTATGTGTTTTTAGGCACCACTAATTATTAGCACGGCTTTCATTCTGAAAACTTAACGAGTTACTTTAAACTAGAATTCTAAACAAAAACGGTATACTAATATCTTTGATATTAGATCCTTATCAGCTTTCAGGATTTTGAAGGAAGGAGTAAGGCCGAGATAACAACTCACGGGCGTGGTGACACGCCCATGTTTTGTTGAGTAATATCAAATTGAGATTGCAGGAAACCAGTAGCAGAGAATTTTGTTTGACAATTTACAGATAATTTTTTTTATGGTGCACAAAAAAGTGTCAAATAAAAATGTCACCTTTAGAATGTGTTTCACAGGGTGATCAAAAAGGCATACAATTTAATTTTAACAAAATAACCATTATAATCAAAATAATAAATATACCGCACATAATGTCAACAAGTGTCTCATTGTCAACTTTGTCTTATCTGCTCATTCATGACAGTCTTCAGAATGTGACGTCTGAATAATTTATGGTTATTCTCTTCCCGCAAAAAACACCAGAATATTGAACTTGAAAATATGCCCCCTAACGAAACAACAAATTTCTGAATAATTCTTCAATTTCAACGTCTCAAACGAAGATAGTAGGTATTACTAAAACGCATTTAAAACTAGTGGTGCTACAAAATGGCCTCGTACCATATACATTCCTTATCTCTTTATTCTGGATTAGCCTTTCAGTTTCCGTTTTCTCTAGCTACTTACTACTGGCACCTAAAATACATTTTTTCATATTTTCTTAATTTTT